TTCCACACCTCAGAGCCATCTTATCCATATGCCACCTCTTCTTCCCTTCTGCCTCAACCAGCTTTCCAAGACATAAACACAAGTGGTCCTGTGGTTACACAAGACTTTAACCCCCTGGTGTTACTCTTTAAATTATGCTATATAGCAAAACAAAAAGTATGGCAGGGTGAGGGTAGGGGATCTAATCTAGTCACAGAGATCTTTAAAAGCAGGGTCACCCTCATGAAGTTTGGCTCAGTGGATAGAGCGTCGGCCTGTGGACTAAAGGGTCTTGGGTTTGATTCTGGTCAAGGGCACATGCCCGAGTTGTGGGCTCAGTCCCCAGTAGGGGATGTGCAGGAGGCAGCCGATCAATGATTCTCCCTCATCATTGATGTTTCTATCTCTCTCTCCCTCTCCCTTCCCTTCTGAAACAGTCTTTCTTTTCCTATTTGCCTGAGTAATACCTATTTGTCCTTCCAATTCTGATCTTAGTGAGGATTTCCTCCAGGAAGCCTTCTCTGACCTCCCTGACTAGGCCAAACTCCTCACTTGGAGGCTCTTGGAGGCCCCTTTTCAGACCTCAGAAGTAACTTCTACCTCTTATTTAATTGCCATGATCGCCATAAGGACTGGGGCTGTTTCTGTTTCTGATCACCATCATGTCCCCAGGACAGAGCACAGTTTCTGGTCCAGAATTTGTGCTCAATAAATGTTTGTTAAAGGGAGGAATGAATGAAAGGAGTACAAGGACTCTGCTTTAGCCAAACTGATTGCTTTTCCTACAGATGCTTTCTCATCTCCACCCTTTGTTGACTCATATCCCTCCACCTGATATGCTCTCTTGCCAACTCTGTTCTGTAAATTCAACCCACTCCTGCTGGTCTCTACCAAGTAATATTGACCAATATTTTGGCTTTCAGGGGCTTCTACCTCCATCCTTCCCCATGCCCCGACCAAGAGTATCTGTAGTTTGTATTATTTCTTTCTGATTATGAAAATAGTGCATACACATTGTAGAAATTTTAGATAAAACAGATAATTCAAAATATAAAAGAGAAAAGAGAAACATTTCAAATATCACTTCCCAATGATAATTGCTGATTTTGCTATACCATGTGGGGTAAAAGTAGATTTACAGTCATTCATGCGGAAAATAATATAATATAATAATTAGTAAATAATCATCTATATATAAAAGCCTAAGCAACCATTATGACTGGAATGACCGGTCGGCCAGTCGCTATGATGCTCACTGACCACCAAGGGGCAGACGCTCAATGCAGGAGCTTCCCCCTGGTGATCAGTGTGCTCCCACAGGCAACCTCCCACAGCCAGCCAACCTCCCACGTCCCTCCCCCCGGCCACAGGCCCTGATCAGGAACTGGGTGAGATGGCCCTGATCACCAGCCAGGACTAGGGACCCCAACTGTGCACGAATTCGTGCACCGGGCCTCTAGTACAATAATAAACTCTGTTTCGTGTACTCACAACTGTAAACCTACTTATATCTCACCCATATATACACCCATTTTTCCATACATAATCATGGAAAATTTTTAAACCTTACAACAAATTAATGAGGTTTATATTGTTCTCAAATTACAAAAAAAGTTTCAGATAAATTCAATAACTTGCTCTAGGTCACCTAGAACTAGTAAAGAACTCAGAACAGAGCCCAGATTCCAGCCTCACTGACTTAGCCCCTGGCTCTCTCTGCTGTGCTCACTGTTCTTCCGGGCCCTTTTCCCTCTCCATCACTTACTCCTCTTACATCACTGCTCTCTCCCTTCAAGCCCAAAGCCCAAACTCCCTCTGACACACTCCTTTTAACCCAATCATTCCACTTCACTCTGGCATTTTTTTCTAGTAATAGAAGACCACTTTCAACCTAAATGTCCATCAATCTGGTTTAATAAGTAACAATACAGCCTCACAATAAAATACTACACAGTAAGTCAATCAATGATTCTCTCTCATCATTGATGTTTCTATCTCTTCCTCTCCCTTCCTCTCTGAAATCAATAAAAATATATTTTTAAAAAAATACTATACAAATAAAGAATGTCTTCATGCATTACTCTGGAATAATCTCTAAAGTAATTTGTTAAATAAAAAATATGTATAGTCTACTATCATTTGTGAATATAGAGAATATTTCTATATGTGTGCACAAAAATGACTCCGCTATTTGCTTCTGGAAGGGAGAATATAGATATTGAAAGTGAAGGGGGAGAAGGGATTTAATTTTCACTGTATACCCATGTATAGTGTTTAAATTTTTGCCATACACATACATTTAATAAGTTTTTAAAAAAGCAAAATATTCCAAGTTTTCTCTGATCATCCCACTGAGCTCATCTTTACTTCATGTATGTGAAAGTCCCGGTACATGGGTGAGCCCTGCTCCCCTCTTTCTATAGCCTCCCAAGTGAGGCTCACATATCAACCATTTTCGGAGCCCGAAGACTTTGTCTTTTCCACCAGACAAGTAGGATCCTGCAGTCACTTGAAGGAAAAGGCTTTTGTTCTAGCCCCAGCTGTGCCATTCGCTAGTTGTGTCACCTTGGAAAAGTCGTGTCACCTCTCTGACGGTAGATTCTGTCTCCTCCATCAGGTAGGTGAAGAGTTCTCCATCAGCCTCCTAACTTCAAATAGTCTGTCCCCTCTGCCGAGAAAATGGGAATCATCCCCCCTTTCCTATCTCGATAGCTCCTATCCATCCTTCAAGACTCAGCTTCATGCCACTCCTGAAGGAAGACCTCCCTAATCTCTTAGCTGAGGTCCTGACCCTGTGCTGTAGCTTCTCCATCACAAGCTCTATAAGACTTGGTGGGCATGACTTGTTCAGGGTTTGCCTCCCCATTAAGACTGCAAGTGCCATGAGGACAGGAACTGTACTGTGTTTATCATGCCTAGCACAGTGCCTGGCACATGATTCGGGCTCTGGCCACATCACCCTCATCCAGACCCCTCTCTTCAGTTCCTACTTTTTTTATTTTATTGACTTTTATTTTTTTTAAATATAGTTTATTGATTTTTTTTTTCCACAGAGAGGAAGAGAAAGGGATAGAGAGTTAGAAACATCGATGAGAGAGAAACACTCATCAGCTGCCTCCTGCATACCTCCTACTGGGGATGTGCCTGCAACCAAGGTACATGCCCTTGACCAGAATTGAACCTGGGACCCTTCAGTCTGCAGGCCGACGCTTTATCCACTGAGCCAAATGGTTAGGGCTATTATATTGACTTTTAGAGAGGGGGAGAAACATCAATTTGCTTCTCCGCCTACCTATGCATTCATTGGTTGACTCCTTCATGCACCCCTACCAGACCTAAGCGCAACCAGCAACCAGGACTACGCTCCAACCAACCGCTCCAACCAACGGAGCCACCAGGCCAGGGCAGATCCTACATATTGATAGGCTCCCCCTGGCCACTCATGAAAGAAGGGTGGCACTGGGGAAGGTGCCTCTCCCGTCCTGTTCTTCCCCTAAAGTCTCTCAGCCCACTGGGGCATCAGAGCCTGTGATCTTCCTCACCATCCAAAGCCAACTCCTGCAGGTTCCAGTCCCATCTAGGTCCAAAGCAAACTCCAGTCCCATCTAGGTCTCTCACTCAGGGGAGGGCCGCACCCAAGCCAAGCTGGGCCCCAGACCCATTCCCTGCCCCCAGCCCAGCCTGAGAACATGGTGGCCCAGCCCAGCCTGGCAGGCCGGGCCCATCAATCGTGCTCCCAGGGGTACGAACCAATTTCTCTTGCTTTCCTGAGCCTGTCTCCCTGGCGGAGCCTGGAGGAGCCTTCAATCGCATTAATCCCAGGCTGGCGGCGGTGACGAAGACGGATTTCTCCACCAAACGATCCATTTGTATCTCTCGTGCACTCACTTGGTTTTTTTTTTCTGTGCGGATGTTCAAAATATCATGAAAAAGGCGTTAGTCGGGTAGCTGTGGCGCAGCGAAATAATAGAGTGATCCGGCAATGCGCTCCTGACCTTGCAGGACAGCTAATCCATCCGCACATCTATCTTAATTATTCCCGGTTACAAAAGAGAAACTCCACCATTCATTCATTCCAGACTGGCAATTCCATTTTCCATCCCCACTCACGCCCCATCCTTTCTCCACCATTCCCCTAGCCAGATAGGCCCATTCACCAGTGCTGCGGCAGTCCCCCCTCGCACCCCAGTCTTGCCACTTCTGAGCCCACCCGAAGGCAATCCAGGGCCTAGCGCACTGACTCTTGAGATCAGAAGAGAGGCACTCTAGCTCGCTTCCCCACAAGTCGGACCTTGGCACCGGAGGAAGACTAGCTACCAACTCAATGAAGATCCACCGGGACATACACACACACACACACACACACACTGGCAGCCATAGACTCATCCGGACTCTGACAGTCAGCCCTCCTCCCATACAGACATTTGTAGACAGACCCAACCCAAAGCGGACCATTTTGACTCTCCTGCTGCCCTGGCACAGCTGTTGGGACAGATGCTGGGATGGGCATTTTGACTAAGGGTAGGTGCCATGGGGGATGTCTTGGTCTGCCTGTCTCCCATCCCCAAAGACAAAGACCCCACCCACTGTATCCTCTCAGGCTTCCTCATTCGTACAACCTACGCAAGTAAGAGCTAGAGGAGCAAGGTGGAGTGTGGGAGAGGAAGAGAGTAAAAGACGGGAGGCGTGAGGAGAAGTGAGAGAGAAAGAAGGAAAGGGAGGATGGGGGTGGTGTGGTGAGAAGGTCATTGACGTGACATGTGAGTGTCTGTCTGTGTAACACAATTTGACTGATTGTATCGGATTCACTTTGGGGCTGCCTGTGCCTGTCTCTAAAGCCCTTTCTAATTCTACCCTTAATGTACAATTTTTCAGATCCCTCATTCTAATGATTTTAATGCAATCAGCAAAACTAGGCATGTAATTGTCTTGGCTCTGTGCTTGGCCATGGGGGCTCCTGGGAACCCTGGCTCCCAGTTCGCATGCTTCCCCCACCAATCCTTCCCTCTCTCGGTTGTTACCTCTCCCCTCAGCCTCTGTCAGCTAGTACAGAGTGAGACTTTCCCAGCTTCAGGGGCTCCAGGAAGAAAAAGCGGGCATCTCAGTCCCAAATCTGAGTGAGGAAAGGACGCAGTGTGTCTGTCTAGGCCAGAACTAGGCAGGAGGGACTCTCTGCTGGCCCAGCCCTGGCTAGATGTGGGGGCTTAGAGAAGGGGGGCTCCCTGGAAGAGCTCAGTGGCTCTCCCCCCCTTCCCAGAGCAGCCTGGGCTGGGCCTGTGGGGCAGCGAGCAGGGGAAGGGCCATTTGTCCTGAGACAATGGGAGAAAAGGGGTCTCAGAGCGGCTGTTGAGAGTCAATTTGTAGTAGTGACGGCTGAGGTTGCTCCAAAGGCTGGGAACAGCTGGAGCTCAGGGTGACTGATGGGTGGGCCCAGGAGAGGGGCCATCGGTCTGGCAGACACAAAGGCCCCGATGGTGCGCGGGTGGGGCCTGTCAAAATCATTAATTGCCCAAGATGGGAGCCCCTGACTTCAGATGGGACCAGCATGTAGGGGGAAGAGGTCAGGAGCTACCCCTCCCTCCCCGCAGCCCCTCTTAGGAAACTCAACTACCCACACCCCCTTATTTACATAGACACCCCCCCTACCCCCCAGTCTTCCAGGTCCCTGGCCTCATTCCAGTGAGAGGCCGGTTCCGTCCGGTTTGAGCAGCTCTGGCTCCGGCCAATCCTGGGCCTGGCAAGGCCTCTCCCGGCCTCTTTGAGAGACTCCCCCCCCCCCCCTCCAGCTTTGCAGTCTCCACACAGCGCTTCACTCACTTCTCGGGGAACAGAACAGCCTCAATTCAGGACCAGGAGAGAGCGCCCCTCCATTTCAAAGGGGAGAAACTGAGGCCCGCGGTGATGCCTCCCGCTTCCTGCTCCAGGCCTT